TACGGCTCATTGTCTAGAGATTCAAATCCCTGCATTGCAACCGCCGTAGTCCAGTGCTGCAGTACCTGATGAGGCTCGAGTGTAAAACGTTTATACTTTGCAGCAGGATCCACAAGCAAGCAGCACCGTCTACCAGCGTCCACCAGTGACTGGCAGCGTTCGAGGGCTAGGAAAGTATAGGTATCGATCCAGCGACCAGCAGCGTCCAGGAGTGGAGAGTATGGGGCGATAGGGAGGTAGCAGACAGCTGGTACCCTCCTGTTGCCCCATACTCTCTACCAGCAATCTGCTACCCTCCTATCTTCCCATAGTCTACCAGCTGTCTGCTACCCTCCTTTCACCTCATACTCTCCACTCGTGGACGCTGCTGGTTGCTGTGGACGCTGGTAGACTCTGCTGGGCTGGTCGCTAGATTGATATCTATACTTTCCTAGTCGCTGACGCTGCCGGACGCTCGGAACGCTAGTGGTCGCTGGTGGAGGCTGCCACAAAGTATGAACGCAGCGTTACTTCCGAGTCGCCGCCAGTGCGGCGAATAAGCCCTGCAAGCGAGATTATACGCAGCATTTGCACCTGAACCCAAACCAGTGAACATGGCAGTGACGCTGTCTCTCACTCTACTTCCCAAGTCAGCTCGTACTCCGATGCCGCAACTGGGAAGTAACGCTTTACACCTTCAAGTAGTCAAGTTCACGGTCGTTAGTTTCCGCGCCACTAGATAGATCAAGGGTCCAGCATCGTTGTGTAGAGCCCATCAGGAGGTTGTATTTGGTGGAGGGAGGGTTGTATTTGATTTCAATGTTGTTTTTTTATGTTGATTTTTTCTGAGTTTTGCGACAGAATTGTTAATTCTGAAATGTGGTTCAAAGTGTCTACCCTTTCCCCTTCCGACAAAATTTTCGGAACTTCGCGTGAACCGCCAAGGTGATGTGCGAAATAAGTTGTAAGGACATGCGGCGCAGTTTGTCGACGAGGGAATGGGGAGGGGGGCATTACCGCGACTTTCATAGATGTGCCGACCCATCTAGGTAGCCTTTTCTCGAGTTGACACGTTTTAGGATGGTGGCTAGACGATCTTACTCCAGCTTCACAGGCGTTCACAAGTTTTACCATGGTGAGATTCGTAAACCGGAACTAGGGAAGCAATGTTAGTACAAAATGCCCCCGTCGCTAAACAGCGCCGACATGCCGTATATGGACATTCTTTTGATCTAGGGCTATTCAATACATCCCATGCTGCAACTTTCGGATCTCCTTAGTTAGCTACTTCGTTCCATACTGCGACTTACAGCTGATATCGTCGCAGTGTGAAGAAGCGGTGAATGAGCCCACCCGTGGCTGCATCTTCTACCGATAGTGGCCGCGTTCAGGTAGAAAATAACCAGTTGTGGAAAAATGCCGCGGGTGTCGCCCTACCGCTTCTTCGCCGCCTTCGTCTGCCGCGATTGTGACGGCTAGATATTTGAATTTTCAGCATCGTTTCTAACGTAGTGAACACATACTCATGAGCTAGTAGTACGCAGAGGCTCTTTGGCCCCGTACATGATGATTGTGCATGGTTCAGGGGAGCTGGCTGTACTGGGGCGAGTCTGGTCTGTGCGATGAAGGGAAAGCCTACTGCTTCAAGTCTGCTCTCCGCTGCTCAGCGTGCGCGTGCGGGATTATACATGAGCATAGCAGTAGGTAAGCATACTACAGAAACGACTTCCGTCGAACCAGAATACTTCATACCTGAGGAATCCCTGATGGAGGGTCGTATTTGGATCCCGCTCCCGAGCGGAGAAGGCGTGAAGCCGCAGGGAGTAGCGATCGCTTTTAGTGGGCAAAAAACTTTTGGGTTGCTAATCTTTCCCGTTCATGCGCATCATACCCTTCCACGCTCACTTAGTCGGCGCCTCCGCTTTGCTACTATTAGTCATAGTTGATGGGAAGTGGCTGCTCCTCCCCCCTTCTCCGCCGCTCAAAGGCACAACTTTGAAAGGTCGGTAAGGGGAGCCGGTTGGTTAGCCGGTTGGTTATAGCAAGAAAAAAACTTCGGATAGCGATACCCGAGCGCTGAACGGCTTATGCTTACGGGTTAGCAGCATGTCCAAGGCTTACGAACTCTCCGCAGCACCCTCGATTCCGGAATCTGTCAGCTACTTACTCTTTTTTGACCATCAGCGCCTTGCCCCGAAGCATTAGACTCTGGAGTGATGTGCTATTGCAAGGCTATTGCAAGTGGTGTCGCGGGCGCAACATTCAGAGCAGGACCTAATCCATTTGACTAAACAGGCTCCGGTACGTAGGTCCATTCAGTTAGCCGCGCAAGTCGAGCTAGTTCCTGAATATTGCCGCAATCTAAGATTCTTGACTCCTACTTGAACCAAGGGATTTATCACAACCCTTTGTCGTATATTTCTCATCTTGAATGGGGTGTGATCGGCAAAAGATTCAGCACCGAATGCACCGGCTATGATCGAACGCCATAGGATCCCATGCTCATAAATGTATGACATAATTCACTGCATGAAATTGTAAATTACAAGGCTCATTGAAAGTACCATCTCATAGGCACCACTTCGCAGAACTTTGAACTGATCTGTTTTTGTTTTCTAGGAGAGTCGAAAGACATGCAAATGTGGTTGCTAGCGATCACAGCTGGAATGTTCCTCTATGTGTCATGGATCGACATGGTAAGTTGGTGAATGTCGAGTATAATTGAGTCTTACTGAAACTCATGGAACCAGAGCTCCTTCGTCGTCATTTAGTTTCTAGCAGAGCCTCAGTTGACTTGGACTGCGTTCAGACTTCGCAATCCAGCAGTTTCGATCGCATGATCGGATCGCGCGATCTCGACGGGAGCGCTCCATCGCCAAACGGTGCTCCGCCGCAACAGCATAACTCAAATGTGCTCTGTGTGAAGGCTGCCCAATTTCAATTCTGACGTTGCGGCACTGCACTATTTGACGGTGGATTGCTTCCGTCATGATCTCGGATCCGATCCTCGAGCTAATTACCTCAAGGAAACTCAGCGGGTTGCCTCGGCAAGCTGAGGGAGAGGGGTAGTAGCAAGCGGTGCTGCTACTCCAACCGTGATGCTGAGTTCAAACGGCAAGTTGAGTCTAGGCCAAGCCAACCAGCCTTTCTGCCTTTTTTAGGTAGAACGATTGATCTCAGATCCTTTTGGAGGGATGTAGAAAGCACTGACTTACTATACTGTACCCGGCCTTTGTCTCTGACAGACAAATCTGAGAGCCACAAGCCGTTGCAAGAGAAAAACACCCGATGGCTGAAAGAAATGAGTGTTGTTACGCTGTTAACGTTGGAAATTACCTACGTGTATGGCATTCCTACCAGTACCCAACTGGTTTCACGTGGGAGTCCTACAGTATGTTGATTCAGCTAGATAAGGAATAGGGCTACGTGATTACTTGAACTTTTGTGCATGGTTCTGGTTCCGAAACCCTGTCTGCAGACAACAAGAGGACAGCGGCTGCCAAAGCTTCAAAAGAAAGAAAACAGTGCAGAAAAACATGTCGCGAACGAGGATGGAGTCCCCCAAAGGGGAGGCGGTACTCGGGGCTGGGTGAGCCGCACACATATTGTTCATGAAAGTCTAGACTTTTCGCGGTAAACACCATACAGGAAAAGATGCAGTGCGCAAGCTACATAAATTTGACGCGATCAAAGGGCTTGAGTTCAGGTTGTCCGTAGACTTCAGTTCTTCAGTGGTAGGTAAACTGGTCAGCGCTTATGACTCCCATCAGTATGTTCGACGTTGACCATGTAGGTAATACCGTCCACCTCATTCCCTGACTGGCTGAGACGCCTGCTTCATTTTTCTAGTTATTGCTCGAATAGGTAATCTCCTCGTGTCTGGTTAAGTGTTAGTTAATCTTCTTCGCAAAAACTAGCAGACTGTCGCTATGAGATCGCCATAAGTTCGTATTTATGGCTAGCGGAACTAACATACTGCAGTACTGCCGCGTAATGTGAATTAGGTCCTGGTGCGAATGACGTCCACGGGCCACCTCTCACAAAACCATCTCGGCGCAACGTCAACCGGATGCTCTCTCGCTGCTAAGGTCTAGAGGTGTTTTTCATAGCATTTTCTGATTGAGCGTCCAGAGGAAGGAAAATAAAGAGAAGAGATGAGAGAGGAAGAAGAAGAAGAAGAAGAAAAAGAAGAAGGAAGGAGGAAGGCAGGAGTAGGAAGGCTTCGCGGTTGTCAGATACCCTGAGACCGCGCAGCGTGGAATCTTAATCTTCCCTCCACGGGTGCGGAAATGCATTCTTGAATAACAACTTTCGAATTAACGACTTTTACGGCTCGTACTTCCTTTTCAGTACATGAAACTTTTCTTTTCAGCTCGCTCATCTGAAGCACGATGGCTCACACAAGGATCACTGGACGGTGGCCTGCCTTCTGCAATATTCAGGGTTCTGTACGGGATTTATTCTGATATTCGCGTTGGGTTGGTTCGAGGAACAATTGTTCACCACAAGCTGATGATCCTTTCCACCATACCGCACATGCATCTCCTCCTACTAACTAATCGCTACTAGTCTGCGGGTTTTTCTTCACGATATTGCTCACTTCGTATATAATAGCTATTATTATTATTATTGAATAGCTGACTATAAATAACGTACAAGTTTATGAATATGCAAACGTACTTAAATACTTACTATCACTTGAATAATCGTTTACGGTGATTCTCCTATGAGATATCAAATAAATGTTGCTAAAATGCTTGAGTCCTGTCAATCTGCATTCTCTTGAAAACCACCAATCATCGGTTCCAGCTGGGATTGTAGCGACAGGGTGGAAGGACGGTGAAGTGCGTAAGCGGTTTCCCTACCCGATCACGCAGAACGCGGAGAGTAGGAGGGTCCGCCATCCATCCTCTGAGGGGTTGTGTCGCGTAATAAGAATGCTCAGAGGCGAATGCCTGCTGGCTCGCCACTGGCATGTTCGGCCTAACCCCCATCTATGATATATACTACGATTGTGAGAGAGGAGAGGAGACTAATGAAGATGTCACCGATTGTATGTGTTTGTTCCTACATAACAAAGAGACTAAAGTTTCGGTAATTACGTAGTTTTAGACGACTAACTATTCGTCTAAAACTACGTAATTACCGAAACATATACAAAGTATGACTACAATATGAACAACTAGGAGAACAAGGTGGGAGGAGTCATTGCATGGTTAACAAACAGCACACTAACGATTAGGGAGCATGTGATGTGGCAGCGTATCGGTTCATTTGGCCTGGAATGAGACGATGGAATGAGCGGCCGCTCGGTAGGATGACTCGTCGACGACTGCTGGGGCGCGCGGGCTGAGTGCATAGAAATAGGGTAGCATCTCGCGCTTCCAGCTCCTTCCATTGTTCAAACAGGCGTAAACGGTAGGATGACGAATGGAGCATGGTTTTCTTGAGGCGCATGCCATAGACGCTTCCAGGTCATACGCAAGTCACGAAGAGAGAGTCGGAGACTAGCCCGATCGGTACGTACGTTTATAATGCCGCAAACAGTCAAAGTGGAGTCAAGAGGCCTGGAATGAGCCTGTTTTTCCCACGTGTTTTTTTCCATAAATTGATCACTAGCCGATCACTATTGGTAGACAACGCCGCTGGAGGAGAGCTAATTTGACACTCTTCGGCACCGTCCCGTCTGATTTCGTCTTGAGGAGGTCGAACTACTCCGGAGGACAAATTTTTAGTCAAATCTGCCCCCAGAGAACAAAGTCACTGATTTTGGAAGACTGGGGCAATAAAAGCTAAACTGCTGCAGAGATTCGAGATTCATGTCCGTCTCTCGCATTTCTTCACACGCTTTGATCGCAGTCGTTCATTTATTTGAAA